ATATACAGATAGATAGATAGATAGATAGATATATAGTTAGGGCTGGATCAGGTGACCTTGAATCCTCCCTTAGTTATGCTGCAGTAGGTGGGATTCTGTGTTTCTTCTTCACTCACCTCTCTGTACTCAGTTATTGGTCATTATTAATCTCTGGCTCTTTACCACAGAGTGTCTTTATCCTCTGTCCCCCTCCTCACCCATTCAGTAATGCAGATGGCGGCCCCTCCCTGAACATTGTTCTGCTACAAGTTTCTTCCTTTTAGAAGGTTTTTCCTTCCCACTGACTCCCAGTGCACGCTCAGAGGAGCGTCGTCTGATTGTTGGGTCTCTCAGTATTGTTCTGGTTTTACAGTGTAAACTTAGAGCTACATAAATAAAACTGAACTGAAATGAATATTGCAATTTTTAAAGCGTGTCCGAGTCATAATGTTTCCTCTCTGTTTCTTCCTGTGTTTCTCATGTCTCCTGCTTTACTTTGGATTTTATAAAACCATCTCCATCTCTCTTCTTCCTCGCATGGTTTTGGCGCAAAAAGGCAGCTGGTAACTGCCTAGTCATTGATTCTGTAACGTGTTTGTTGAATCTCTATCTGAATATCTGGTCTGCTGTCTGAATGGCTATCCCACAAAATGGCCAATAATGAATCTGAATCTGAACAAATTAATGAAGCTAATGATCTTGTGTGTCTTTAACCCACTAAAAACAGCTAAAAGCTACTGCAACCATTTCTCATCACTGGTCCAAGTAGAAGATCTCTCCTCAAGGAACAATAACAGCGCTGCTGTTATTTTAATTTCTATTGTGAAACTGTTATCAATATAAACTTCACACTACAGTCACAACAGTCCAAGAAACCCGCTAATCACATAAAAACTGTAAATTTGAAGCTACAAGCAGCAAGTGATGTAATTTAATGAAACACTTATTGTTTCATTAAATTTTTAATGATCAAATATACTTTAATTTTGCATTGGTTGACCATCACACCACATTAGCCAGTGTTTATTTCTAAAAAAGGGTTTTTTAAAAATT